TTGCGCTTTTGTGAAGAGGGCGCCACCAAATTTTGAGGACACTTTTTTAATTGGCTCAAAGAGAGAAGTGGCCCATCTTGTTATGTACTATCATTGATTTCGGAGCACTACGAAGCTTAAACTTTATTTTTCACAAATAAATTCTAAAAAAAAGAAGAAGATTTTAATGATTAACGTAACTGGTAACTGTTGGTTTACGTAAAAAGGAGTCAGAACTTTTCTTCCGTAGCATTAGACTCTAATCGTGGGAATTGGTTCCGGAATCGATTCTTCGCCCAACTCTACCGGGCAGGTCCATGACCATAAGTGCTCAGTTCCTCCTCTGCACTAAAGCACGCAAGGTATCCATTAGTGTTTCTATACATTTGTGTATCTCTATTGTCTATACTGATATGTGTACGTGTCTGTCTCTCTCCGTTGTGTGTTGTGTATTTTATTATCTCCACTGTTTCTCTCCCGCAGGTATCTTGTACAGCATGTGGAAGAACGTCGGGAAGCGTCCCAGGAGGCCACGGGAATCTGACACGGACGATGAAGACGAGGAGTCGAGAGTGCACAGGATGAGCGTGGACTGCACGGGTTCGAGTCGAGGGCTGTTTCTGGGCATCTTACTTATGGTCGGAACCATCATCTCTATCATCGCCTTCTACATGTTGATGAATCAACAGGAGTTAAGGGTGAGTGGTGGCGGTGGAAAAGGGAATGGAGAAGGGGGGGGGGGGGTATTAGGGTATTAACCCTATCCGTACCCCCTGGGGTCGTTTTGTACCCCCTGGGTTGTATTCTTCACATTTTAGAATACTTCTAGTTCGAAGATCTCTTTTGAAGCTTTCAGTATTTCTCAAAAAATCATTTTGACAGACTGCTATGCAAAGCGTACGGATCGGATTAACTAGTAAATTTCCTCTTTGGAAAGTGGTGGCACAGAGTTGCCCAGGTCGTATGAATACGATAGTAAAGCACGTACGGATAGGGTTAAGTTGTTAGGTGATGAGGGGTGGGGGTGGGATGTTAAGGGTGGAGAAGAGTGAGGTGGAGGGGGGATGGATGGTGGGTGGTGGATGGGGATGTGAGGTTGTGGAAGGGAAGACTAGGGGTGTGAAGAGGGGTGGGGAGGGGGGGTTGTAATTGGGGCTTACTTTTTGGAGGAGACTAACATCTTTATTTCTTTTACATCATGCTAATAAATCAACAGAAGCTGGGATTGCGTAGCAGGAGGGGAGGGGGGTGGGGATGGAGGGTGGTCGCGATCTTGTTACCTCGCTAACCCAGAATTACAACTCAGTACCGAGTTTTGATAAATTTAACATTAGAAATTTAGAGCTTCACAGCGTGCCAAGCTGCTTCGAATGCAATTCGTTGAATATCATTATTATTATTATAACGACTCTGAATAATCTAACGATTTTGTAGAGCTGATGGAAGATTTGATTTCTGGCTTCATGGTTTTGTTAACTCAAATCGAACAAATTATAAGATAGAACTTTGTAATTCTAAGGTATCGACTTTATTGACAGGGCAACTGAGCATGCTTTGGTCGTATGTTATTATCTCTGTAAGGCTGTGGCTGTGGTGAAATCAGGCGCTCATCAAAATAATGGAACTAAAGAAACTGGTATTTACCGCTGGTTTTGGCAATTGTTATCAAAATGTAGTTTTGGGGTCTCGACACCTTTTATGTCCATTTAAGAACCCATTTATGTGTAGATTATGCTGAAAAACGTTAATTAAAAGCACAAATTTTGCTGTAAATTGTCAGTTTCCACAGACTCCTAGGCTATGTATATAAGCAAATTTTGGTGGCTTTTTTCTCGGTAATTTTACCTCTGAAACCAGGCGACCCCCTCCTCCTTTTTGATAAAAATTATCTCAACTTATATTCAAGATAAATTGGTATTTTTTTTCACCCAAAGCAAGGTACATGAACATGCTTTAAAGCGAAACCAGTAACTCCACATTCCACAAAATTGACCAGAGCCTGATCCCACGTGACACATTTATTACGTCCGATCAACAACTGACCAGAGGCAATGTTGCAGCGTTTGTCAAATATCATTACACAAACGAGAAACGCGAATTTGAATTCGTCAGAGTATGCATATTGTTGCTTACCTTTTAAAGTTTTAGAAAAAGAATTAACACCAAAGTTATGGCGGCGTAAGCTTATAGATATGCATAGAGAAATGGAATCAATGAAAAGACGACAGACAATACTTTTATTTTCATGAAAAGAAGATGGATAATACAAAGAAATACGCACAAAGCACAGAGGGGAAAGATAGACGATAGAAAAGGATATGGACAATAATATGAAAAGAACTAGACAAAAGGAAACAAAGTTTTAAAAATATTTTTTAAAAGAATATTATTATCTTTTAGATAGACAATGTATTAACCTTTTCATAGCCTGATTGCACATTAGAACATCTTGTATAAAAGTAACCCATGACATTTTCAGCCATCGGCGATCATGTTGACACATCTATCGGAAACAGCCATTTATACGGTGACTTTCGGCGCGCTTATCATGGCCACCCTGAAAATGAAGTCCTTGACCTTTCACAACGAGCACGATGCAGATCTGGAGGATATCCTTATTCTTATCTCTTATACAGGGCTACTGGCCTTTATAATTTTCAGGTAAAGTCGTTGCTGCTGCTGTTGTAGGTGTGGTTTTTGTTGATGCTGATGTTGCTTTTGTTTTTGTTGTTGCTGTTGTTGTTGGTTTTGTTGTTGTTGTTGTTACTGTTACTGTTTGCGTAGACTTTGTCGTTGTTATTGTTGTTTTGGTTGTTGCTGTAGGTGTTGTTATTGTTGTTGGTGGTGCTATTGTTATTTGTGTCGTAGTTGTTGTTGTCCTTCTTGTTCTTGTTCTTGTTCTTGTTCTAGTTCTTGGTCTTGTTCTTGTTCTTGTTCTTGTTCTTGTTCTTCTTTTTCTTCTTCTTCTTCTTCTTCTTCTTCTTCTTCTTCTTCTTCTTCTTCTTCTTCATTTTGCTTGGATGCTCCCTGATATTTTCTCCTCACCTGTCTGTTCAAGTACCCTAAATTAGATGCACACACCTCTGGAAGAAACTCTTTTGTCTGTCTCACACCTATACATAACACTTTATTTCCCTGAAATATTGTGGTGATTACGTTCTAGAACCTCCCACCAGAGGGTAGAAACGAAATTTACCTTTATGCCTTTATCAGCCTTTCCCACTATTGCAAATCTTTGTATACTTTGAGTAAAGATACCAACAGAAGGCCTTTAAAAAGTCAAAAAAGACATGTTGTACATTGTTTGGCAAATGATTTTACAAGGATCAAAATACGTATCGGTCCTCACCAGAGCAGAGATTAAAATTTGAATGAATAAACAGCATTGTACTGAGTCTGCAAAATGTGAACCGCGATAGAGTGCTCGAAAACTGAAGTGAAGGCTCGTATTATAGCTAATATTATGTGAGCTGGATATATGCTCTGTTTTAAAACACATTTCCTAGCAATAGTCAATAAACCAATCCTATAGACTTTTTCTACACCCCCACCCCTTCTGCCGTGTCGTCTTTATATATAAATCGACAAGAGCTCAATATGACACAAAGAAAGAAAGACAATAGTTCTATCCGACAGACTCTCTCTATTCTCTTTGCCTCCCCCCCCCCCTTGTTTTTCTGTCTCCATCCTACTCAAATTTACGTCAATCAAATTCAAACAACAATAGCAATAGCATTCTATATAAACAACGATTGACTACAAATTTAGCTTTTAAAAAAATTCAATGATAGACAAGATATTTGTCGTTTGTATCAGTGTAAACAACGAAAGAAAAAAAAGATCTATCAGCTACAAATAAAAATAAAGAACATGATTTAATATATATTTGATGAAAACAACGATAGACAAAATATCTATCAGCCACATACAAAAATCAACGAAAATCTATTAAATACAAACAACGGTTGATCTATCAGCTTCATATAACAATAAAAATCAATAGATCTATTAGATGCAAAAGACAGCAGACAATAGTTATACCGGCCACATACACTAAATAAACAATATTATACCTATTAGCTACAAACAACAATAGACCATAGATGATACCTCCAGTAGACGTGTTATTCAAAATTCTTCCATCTTCACTCTTCACCATCTTGTTACAAGTATTCATATGACCTTAGAGTAGAGCATGCATCAGAATAACATTGAATTACAATCAGAATACCGAGTATGTATCTGGCTTTACATTACACGCGCGCGCGTGTGTGTGTGTGTGTGTGTGTGTGTGTGTGTGTGTGTGTGTGTGTGTGCGTGTGTGTGTGTATGTGTGTGTGAGTGTGTGTATGAGTATGTGTGTGTGTGTATGTGTGTACGTGGTGAAACACTAAACCAATGTGCCAGGATCTACACAATAAAGATGTATCTTATCTTATGGTATCTTATCTTATGTTATCTTACCTTATCTCATTCTCTCTCCTACAGCCTAGTAGCCTCCATCCTGCACAAACCGGACATGCGATCCGCCCTGACCATCTTGTCTAACGTGACCATGTTGATCCAGGCGACGCTACAGACCATATTCATGTTGGCCGGGGATAGGATGTCTGCTGCTAACCATTCACAAGTGAGTGTGGGAGGGAGGGATGGAGGGGAGGACAGAGGGAGGGAGGGAGGAAAAGGAGTGAGGGAGGGATGAAGGGAAGGAGGGAGGGTAGGTGGGAAAAAGAGAGGGAGTGAGGGGAATCACGCTACAGACCCTTATGTATGTTGGCAGGGGAAAGGGTGTCTGCTGCTAACCATACTCAAGTGGGTGTTGGAGGGAGCAGTGAAGGGGAGTACACAGAGATGGGGGTGGAGGAAAAGGAGTGAGGGAGGGACAAAGGGAGAAAAGAAAGGGAAGGAGGGAGGAAAAGGAGTGAGGGAGGGATGAAGGGAGTGAGGGAGGGTAGGTGTGAAGGAAAGAGGAAATGAGGGGAATCACACTACAGACCATTATGTATGTTGGCAGGGGAAAAGATGTCTGCTGCTAACCATACTCAAGTGAGTGTGGCAGGGAGCAGTGGAGGGGAGATGGTTTCTATAGATGGTGATGTCCTATTATTGTTGTTGATATTGTTCTCGATATTGTTTATGCTGTTGTAGCTCGTGATTATAGTCTAAAAAGTTCTTGTTCCTTTAGGTGTCTTTCAAATGTTATCATTATTGTTGATGTCGTTCTCAAAGCTTCAGCTGTTTTCTTATGATGTCCTAAGTGTTGTTGTTGTTGTTGTTGTTGTTGTTGTTGTTGTTGTTGTTGTTGTTGTTGTTGTTGTTGTTGTTGTTGTTAATAAGTTCTTTATGATATCGTTTTGGACCACTTACAGGTTCGGAAAAAGCCAGGTCGTGACATCATCACATTTCTGCTCATCTCAAACTTCGCTATGTGGGCCATCAACACCTTTGAGACGCAAACCCCTCAACATAACCCTATACAGGTATAGCTCACCCAACATGAAAAATACATAATAGTTTGTTTGGGTTTTTTTTTTTTTAACTAATAACGCTTGATTCCTTTTACGTTGATGCTTTGGGTTTTAAATATATGACAATCCTGAATTCATGTTTTTGAGCAATATACATTCTTCAGCATCATAGGTTAATATCAAAGGGCACTGCTCCCCGGCGCAGGTGGCTTTTTTGTGTGTGTACATCCGAGGCTGAAAAAACCCACAATTCTATTTACTCTACAGTTTTTAAAACATACTTCATTATAGATTTTATTTTACACTGTTGTTAGGCTTAACAAGTGCAAACTTCCTTTTAAATACGTGATATAATTGGAGATTTTCAGTACCAAAGAATTGCATTCAAGCAGGAAGCCTAATTGAAAGAGACGACCACAAAATCCAACGTCCTCGTATCACATTCAAATTATAATTTATGATGACATCGATTCATGTCAGCTTTGGTGTGTTACAAGTCACCACATGTTTGACTCAATAGATTATTATTCAACAAAGGCAAAGAGAAAACATTACTTACTAATACTAGGGCCATAATTATTATTACTTACAGTTAATTAAGACAAACTGATACAAAAATCCTGGCAAAAGTTTTCTGGAAAATGATGCAGGCACTCATTATCTGAAATAAAAACACTTTAAAAAATCAATGGACCAGCTATGATGAGGCCATTTTCTCCTTCGGTCTTTCGTTAGCTTTCAATTATCTTCATAACACACGCTTGTATTTTGTGTACGTAACTGTCAATATTCATGTATATTACATTCCGTCTCTGCACTCACCCGTTTCATGTAATTATTATTGCACATGCTAGTCTTTTGTCATGAATGTTCTGATACACTCTTGTCTTACTTCACTGAACACACTTGTCTTGTGTTCTGATACACTCTTGTCTTACCTCACTGAACACACTTGTCTTGTGTTCTGATACACTCTAGTCTTACCTCAGTGAACACACTTGTCTTGTGTTCTGATACACTCTAGTCTTACCTCAGTGAACACACCTGTTGTATGCCACTATGCAAAAATAATTTTTATTTGCCATCTCATGATATATGCGTATATCATTGTTAAATGTATGTTTGCTCCTGTGTCATCGTGCACATTTATTGTCTTTTTTGTTGTTTTTTCGGAACTTGTAGGTCCATTGTTTTTATTCATTTTTAGCGTGCTTCATTCGCTTCCCTTTTAGATACCATTGATTATTAAGGTACCTCAAATGATAATACATTATTTCCCAGGTGGAGTTTTACGGACCAGAAGCCTGGGCTATTTTTACCCACATCTCCGTGCCTCTTGGGATCTACTTCCGGTTTCACTCTACCGTCTGCTTCAGCAACATCTGGAAAAATGCCTGGAAGATACGCAAACATATATGAGGATTGGAAGATTGGGAAACTTATGTCATGATTGGAAGATTGAAAAACATGCTCTGCGATTGGAAGATTAGGAAAAATATATTAAGCGTTGGAAGGTTGGGAAACATAATATATGTATATGAGAATTGGAAGATTGAGAAACATATATATGGTCAAGAGAAAAGGAAGATTGGATTTAAAAACATAATCTTCGACGGTTGGAAGTAATGACTGGAAGATTGTTTTCCTATACTATTTCGTATAATTCTTCGATATTTTCTGTTTATATTCGTATATACATATCCTATAACACTTCAACACGTGAGAGCCTAGTTCCCGACAGGCCCAGTTGGAGAGCAACAGTCAAAGTAGCCAGAAAGTCATAATTATTATGAAGTTTCACGGATATAAAAAAAATATTGAAGCCATAAGAGAAACCCACAAGCGGAACACTTCCACGAATGGAAGTAAGCTTGTTAATGTACAAAATGTGGCAAGCATTTCTCCCGCCAGATTTAGTGTCATTGGCCATAAGGTTAGCCACAAAGTCATGTTACCTCCAGTTCTTCTATTTTGCTTTGAAGAAATATTTTCCTCTGCTGATGCATTAGTCTTCGTCTTTCAGACATAGACGAATGAGCTTTTTATTTTTTGTTTGTTTTTTAACTAGCTTTTATTTTTTTGTCCTATCAGAGGGAGATTTTTTAAAATTTCATAGCGGGGGAAAGGGAGGGGGGGGGGGGATTATCTGGCTGGACTATTTTTTTTGTTTGCCCCTTGTTTTGTTTGAGGTTTTTTGGGGGGTTCCCTTTTTGTTCCTATTTTCTATTCACGTGTTTCTGCCCTGTTTATATTATCATATGTATCGTGGACATGTTTGTGGGAGTAAAAGGGGGATCCGGGAGAGGAAATGGAGTTGGGAAAACAAAATCAGGAACTTGACTGTAAATTTTCCCTTTGTGGTTTTTGTCCTGTTTTGATACTTTCATCCTTTTCATGGACATATAAGAGGAGAAAAGGCAGACCGGGGAGAGTGATTAGAAACAAGAATTATTTAACCAAAATAGCTCGAGAAAGGCCTGTAGTGTTTATGATGTACTCGTAACTCCTTTTTCCAATGATCATCACCATTGCCTTTCTCACCATTGATCAGGATATAGGCAACGAACTAACACTTTCCACCTTTCCCTATCCTGGGCTAGTCGCTTGATGTCACTCCACGTCTTCCCATGTTTCTGTACATTTATTTCCGTGACTCTTTTCCAGGTTCCACGTGGTCTTCCCTTTGATCTTTTACCCTGTGGGTTCCAATCTAACACTTTCCTTGTTATGCAGCTGCTTGACTTCCTGAAAGTGTGTCCAATCCATCTCCAACGTCTTCTTCCCAGCTCATCTCTGACTGGACTCTGTCTCGTTCTTCTTAATACTTCTTCGTTGGTGATCCTGTCTGTCCATTTGATCCTCAGTAGCTTCCTCAGACACTTGTTTAAGAAAACCTGGATCCTCTTTATGCACGCCAGGGATGCGCTCCACGTCTGACATCCATACAACAAGACTGACTTCACATTTCAGTTGAAAATTCTTAGCTTTGTTCGTAATGAGATATCCCTGGTCCTCCAAATCTTCTTCAAAGAAATAAATGCAGTCTGTGCCTTTCCAATGTGGGACTTTATTTCAGTGCCTGTTCCTCCCTCTCTATCAATTATACTCCCAAGATAGCAGAAGGATTCGACGTCTTCTAGTGCATTTCCTTGTACTGTGACCTAGGCCTTTCGTAGTGCATCTATTTTTAGGACTTTCAACTTTCCGGGGTGGATCCACAATCCAACAGACTCTGATAGGCTGTTTAAAAGTGTTGTCTTTCCTTGCATCGGTTCCTGATTGTGTGACAGAAGCGCCAAGTCATCTGCAAAGTCCAGATCGTCCAACTGTGTCCATAGTGTCCACTGTATGCCGTTGCTGTGTCCTCTGGTGGTTTCCTTCATCAGCCAGTCGATTGCCGAGATAAAGAGGAAAGGTAAAAGTAAACATCCCTGTCTCACACCGGTCTTGATGTCAATGGCCATCATGTATAACCCTGCAACTTGTCCCTTTGTACATATGCTCCCGATGAGGTTAACCAATTACTGTGGGATTCCGTGATGTCTCTGTATCTTCCACAGTGTTGCTCAGTCTATGCTGTCAAAGGCCTTCTCATAGTCAAGAATGTTGACGGTCAACTGGGAGTTCCACTCCAGGGACTGTTCCACTATGATCCTCAGTGTAGCAAACTGGTCCGTTGTTGACCGATTTTTTTCGAAAACCAGCCTGTTCATTCCGAAGTCTTGGATCCGTTGCAGACTTGATTCTCTCCAGAATTATTCTCCTGAAGACCTTTCCTGGTATTGAGAGAAGAGTGATTCCTCGGTAGTTGCTTTTTTCCAATACATTTAAAATAATGTCAAAGGCGAATTTATACGCCTGCATTTGTAGTGAGTGGTTAGGTGCCTTGTTGTCGCATCCGGGAGACCCGAGTTCGATTCTCAAGTGTTCATGAGTTTTTATCGAAAGTACAGGCATTTCTGTTGAGATGTACACTTTTGTTTGTTTGAATGCAGAGGAGCCCATCGACAAAGTAACCGTAATTTAGTGCTGTTGCTACCTTAGAATTGCACAGTTCTATCTGACATTTTTGGCCATTTTAAGTTGCGTAGACCATGAGATCGGAACCAAATGCGATGCACCGTGATGAAATCAGTCGCTCCTCAAAATAATGAAATTGAAGAAACTAGCATTATTCTGACCTTTGGGCAATTATTTTATAATTTTCTTTTTTCGGCTCAACACCTTTTATATACATTCAAAAACACATTTCTGTGTGGATTTTCACTGAAAACCTTTGATTTATGTCGCAAAAAGTACATTATCATGTTCCAGGGACTCTCAAGCCATGGAAATTACCAAACATTGGCGGCCATTTCTCACTAATTTTACCTCTATAACCAGGCGACACTGACCTTCTTCAATCACAAATATTTCGACTTCTATTTCAACATAGATCTATTTATTTTCTCACCAAAAACAAGGCAAATGAAGAGGCTTTAAGTTTATATCAATAACCCCCACATGCCCAGAAATTGACGAGCTCCTGATTCCACCACTTCTATCAAAATCGAAAAATTATTATGATTCGTTGTCAAGATATTCAAAGAATTGCATCCGAAAAAGCCTGACATGTTCTTAAACTCAATTGTTTAAAACTTCAATTATTCTCAAACGTAGGATCTGAGCAGATAGAACTTTGTAATTCCAAGGTAGCACAGTGACATCGTAAGACAGACCTACACAGCAGCAACGGACGAAAAGTAAATAACGTGGAGTTTCCTTTTGTACCCATTTAACTATCCGCAGATGTTGAGCTGGACAAGTCCATTTTGTCGATACGGTATCGCTATGTGGGCCATCAACCGTTGTATGAAATAACGCACAGCGATAGATAGAAGAGCAGAGGAGAGCAGAGGAGAGCAGAGGAGAGCAGAGGAGAGGAGAGGAGGGGAAAGGAAAGGAGAGGAGAGGAGAGGAGAGGAGAGGATAAGATAGGATAGGATAGGAAAGAATAGGGTAGGACAGGGCAGGATAAGATATGATATATGATATGATACATAATGATATGATACATGATTATATGATACGATAATTTTTAGTACGATTTGCTATGATTCGATACTTTTTCAGTATGGTTTGATATGATATGAAATGTTTAATGATGGGATTTGATAGGGAAATGCAACATAATTTGAATTATGCTCGGATATGATTTGATGAGGTATGCTATAAAATGCCAAATTGTTTCTTGATTGTACTGAAACTCAATCATTTGTCAAACCTTATTTTGTGGTGCTTTATGATAACATGTAATAAAAGATAATATAATGTCAAAATACGAGAAAATACTATAACATGATTAGGTATGATGACTAGAAATGATAAAACTTGGGTGATAACACATGATATGTACAGGTAGAAATTGAAATATATGTATAAGAATAATATTATTTGATCATCATCAAGTGTCAAGTCTTCGACAGACTACATCTATAATCAAGGTTCTCCATCCATGCCTTTTTATCGGATGCTCTAATAAAAGAAAAAGGTACATTAGCCTGATCATTCCCTGTCACCCATTTGTTTTGGCTTTCAAAGTAATTTGCTCGGAGTCTACCCCTTCCTGGCTTTCCTTCAATTTTACCTTGTTGCTCAAGACCTGTGTGTCTATTGAAGTATCCCAGAAACTGCATTTGTATCTTCTTGATTGTTTCTGTCAGTAGGCGGCCTACGTGGGTTACTTTAAGTACTACCTCATTTGATTTCTTTTCCTACAAGAAATTTTCAACAGTCTCCAAAGAAACCGCATTTCCGTTGCTTTTATTTTATTTTACACTGTTAGTACTAATTGTTCAACATTCATATCCGTATTATAAAAGGGATGACCACGCATAGATTTTTCGAAGTTTTATTTCGTTAGTCCGTGAGATTCTTCTATTTTTCAGGAATGGTCTCATTTTATTGAAACTATCTCTCACCATTGCAACTCTTTGTTTCATTTCTATGGAACATTTGGTATCAGATGCAATTATATATCCTAGATATTTAAACTGCTCAACTTGTTTGATATGTTCACCATTGCTTAAGAGATTATAAATACTATTTACATTTACTGCTTTTTTATATTACGATATATTGTGTTTCCTTCACTTTCAACAATAATCCTTTACGTTTACTTTCCATTACAACAGTATGATAATTTGAAGGTCCTTTTTGGAAAATGCTATCAAAACTTTTGTCATTGGCATATTATCTGATCCTATTAACATTTTATCCATTCACTTTGAGACCTAAACATTTTTCTGTATTTCTAAGGATTGTTTCTCTGTTTATTATGTTAAAAAGATCTAGGAATATAACGCATACTTGGCTTCCTCCTCCAATAATGTCCTTATATACACAGTAATCTCCATCAATCATTACACCTGTCTATGTCTAGCTTTTCAAAATATTTTGAAAAACTCATCATGTCTAACTTTATCGAAAGTCTTTGAACAAACCACGAAACATTACGTGCCAAGGAATAAAAATATATTATTATGATTTACCTGGATATGTACGATGTAGAATTATATAAAGTAGTGTGATTTTCAACGATATGCGTGGCAAGATCGTACCAAAACTATGTATGTGGCATTTTTATTTTCGTTTTTCAACGTTTATAATTTAAATTTCGACAAAATGCTTCTTGAGCACGTGCAGCCGATACCCCAAATACAGAAACTGGGGGGGGGGGGGGGGGGGGGGGGGGGGATATGACTGCGTACGTCATCTGAACTGACTGCAGCTGGCTGACGTATGGAATCATAATACTTATGGAACGGTATAAATGATCTGAGATATATAACAAAATGTATACTTGAGGTCTGCACTACGCATTTTACCTTCCACAATCTCCTCTTCTGTGGACCCACAATTGCTCCCCCCCCCCCTCACCCTTCCCTCCTTTCCCGCCTCTTTTGATGAGTAGACCTTACATCATGCTTAAATCCGTAAGTGTATAATTTTTAGAAGGAAAACATCAAGTTTACC